ATACTTTTTTAGAATTGCTTTGGCTCTTTTGGGTCTTTTGTGTTGCATACAAATTTTAGTATTGCTCATATCTATTCCTGTGAAAAATGTCATTGGAATGTTGTTCATAAGAGATTGTGTTGAACCTGTATATTAATTTGAGGATTATGGATATTTTAACAATATAAATTCTTTTGACAAATGAACATGGAATATCTTTTTCACTTATTCCATCTGCTTCATTTCTTTCATAGATGTTTTACAGTTTTCAGTGTATAGGTATTTTACTTCCTTAACTAAATTCATTCTTTAAGTATTTTACCTTTGGATGCTATCATAAATAAGATTGTTTTCTTCATTTCTTTTTTAGCTAAGTTGTTATTTCTGTGTAGAAATATTGTGATTGTGTGTTGATTTTTTTATCTTACAACTTTACTGAATTAATTAGTTTCAACAGTTCTTTTTGATGGAGGTTTTGTGTTTTCTACGTATAGTATCATATCATCTGTAAATAGAGATAATTGCACTTCTTTTTTCCAATGTAAATACCATTGGTGTATGTATGTATCTATGTCTGGTTGCTCTTAATCATATTTCCAGTACTATGTTGAATAGAAGTGGTAAAAGTGGATATTCTTGGCTTGTATCAAATCTTAGGTTAAAAGCGTTTAGTTTCTCACAATTAATTATAATGTTACCTGTGGGTAACATTCATAAATGATGTTTATATGTTGAGAAACTTTCCTTCTATATCTAAACTCTTAAGAACTTTTATTAAGGAAAGATGTTGAACTTTGCCAAATGTTTTTTTATGTTAATTGGGATGAGTATGTGTTTTTGTCTTTCAGTTAGTTAGTAATGTATTACCTTAATTGATCTGCATGTGTTAAGACTGATAACACATGCAAATCCATGTGTTATTACTACATCATGATGTATAATCTTTTTGATATGCTGTTAAATTCACTTTGCAAGCTATAGTAATCAGAACAGTATGATACAGTCATTAAAACAGATAGAACTGTGGAGCACAGTGGAGAGCCCCTTAATAAATCCAAACAAATCTGATATGGTGAACTAAGTTTTGATAAGTACACCAAGAAATAATAGGGAAGTTAAAGTCTATTCAATAAATACTACTAGAAAAACTGAAGTTCCGCATGCAGAAGAATAAAATGTGTACAATAGATTGCACACAAAATCTACTCAAAATGGATAAAGATCTAAATGGAAGACCTGAAAGCATAAAACTCCTAGAAGAAAACATAGGAAGAAATCTTCTTGACATTGGCCTTGGTAGTGATTTCTTAGATATTACACCAAAAGCTTGGGCTACAAAAGCAAAAATAAATGAGACTAAATTAAACTAATAATTGTCTGCCTAACAAAGAAGATGATTTTTAGATCAGATAGACACTGTCTGTTTTAATTAATAAAATGAAAAGGCAACATAAAGATCTGGAAACAATACTTGCAAACCATATACCTCATAAGCACTTATCAATCAAAATTTACAAATAACTCATAAAACTCAAAAATAAGAATATATACTATTATATATAAAACAAAATATTTTATTGGTTAATTTCTTAGTTTTGATAATTGTCCTACATAACGTAAGATTAATGCTCAGAAGTAAAAACTGGGTAAAATGTAGGATGGTACTGTGTATTAATTTTGAAACTCTTCACTAAGTCTATAACCGTTTTCAAAGTATTTAAATTGTTTAGCTTTTAAAGTTTTGTAAGATAACATTGTTAAAATGTTCTGAATCTAATGCAAAAGTCAATGAGATAGAAAATATTATAGAAAATTGATTGGTGTAAAGTTCAATCGAAGTAGGTCCAACTATTAAGGTGAAAACATACAAAGTGGAAGGATAAAATATGAAGAAACTATTAGAAATAAATAATTCAGAAAAAAATACATGTCATTAGGTTAAATGTGTTTACTAAATGCCTCGCAGAAAAAATGTAAAAATGTCCACACCTTTTTTTTTCTGTATTTCACTATTTATTTAGATATTTAAATTCTCACGCTAGGTTTTTACAAACTGGTAAACACTGACAAATTATTTCTCCCACAGAAATATAAAACATATCCCCAGACAGTATAAATGTGTAGTTGAACTAATACTAATACACAATACCATTTGTCAATTACATAATAAAACAAATTATCAAGTATCCAAATATTAAATTACACAACTTAAAAGACAAATAAAAATTAGATGTTTGCTCAATTTATTAGCAGAAACCCATTTCTTTTTTTTTGCAAGAGAGGTCAAGAAGAGAGGGGGAAAATCACTGTTTAAACAAATATAACTTGGTAACTTCCAGTAAGTATGAAAAAAAATACAAAAATTTCAGAAATTTTATGAATAAGAATTGTTTCAGCTACAATAACAAAGCATCTCCAAAGCATTTTTAAATCTTTAAAAATATTTACTAAATTAAAGAGCATATTGTACACGTTCTGAACAAGACAAAGGCAATATTTTGCTAAAAATAACTAATAGCCCCCTCCCATTCTTTTCTTAGGCCCTCCCTGTTAAGTTGTATCTCAGAGTGTAAACATTAAATTAACTGTAAGGCTGTTTTATCTGAAGACATTAAAGACATGTGTTTCTGTATAATGTAGGTTTTTACTTAACAGCACAAAGTGTGATTTATAGAAACATGTTAAGTAATCACTGTTAGACTTGGTTAAAAAAAAATATCAGTGGTTAAGCAAACCTGATGTGGGAGATGTAAACATAAGTGAGAAAGCAAATAATGATGTAGGTCCTACTTTCAATGTTTGAAAAGATTGGTGGAATAAACCACATAAGACCTAGAGGGTTCATAGTTCCTAGGATTTTAGTTCTGCATGATACTAAAAATATACAAGTATTGTGCTGGGAATTTTGGCACCTAATCTTCTTAAATTTCCTATATATTGATAAAATTCTGGCATGGGAATAGATTTAAACAAGACATAACTCAATAACTCATGATTTCAGGAAAGATCAGTTAGTATAAGTGACAAGCACGCTTTAAATAGTGACAGCCAGAAATCTTTTGCCATGTATCCAAATAGGTTGACTGTAACCCAAACACAGAGGTTGTCAAATCTGTCAAGCTTGTGGCCTGGTAAAACTGCCTTTCAATACTCCTATGGAGGATTCATTAGACTTATTCACTAAGCCAACATGTTGGCTAATACATACAACAAATTAGGTCATCTCAAGTTCTACTTCAGAGGCAATAGCATCAAGCACCCCAATTTTATTAAATGGAACAATTGTTTCTATGACCTTTGGAGTTTTTGAAGAGCAGCTGAATACTCTTCAACTACAAAAGTTTGGGTGATACTTCTCCAACTACAAAAGTTCCTTGCTGTTAAATGCTTCATGCCGGTTTTGTCTTAAAAATTGTACTGCCTCTTCATATTTCATTCTACCTTCAATTAATGCTAAGCAACAAGTACCGGAGCTCTTTCAAGGCCTGCATAGAGGTTGTGCTGTGCCTGGTAGTAATCTCCACTGCCCATCAGAAACTCCACAAATGTGTGACCGAGAACACCACAGAAGTGAGGAATATGTTTACTCATTGAAGATTGTGGCCTACTTGGTCAGCTGATCCTCACAGGCCACGGTGGTGGTGGTGGTTGCTGGGCAGCAGGTGGCCTCGGCCCCAAATTCCTTCTATTAAAATCATAAATAATAGACCTTCAAATCACTATGGACAAAGAGAAGGTTGCATGTGCTTTAAATATTAAAGCATACAAAGAATAAAAACATTAAAAAAAAGGCAACATCAGACTTCTCGAGAAGAATATTAGATGATATATAATGAAACAATGGAGAAATATCTCCAGAATTTTGACTGTAATAACTTTGAACCCACAATTATAACTGGCAAAGCTAAAATCAAAAGGAAATAAAAAGAGATCTGTAGATAGGCAAGGTATAGTGTCACTGACCATATCTGTTATTTGTAGAAAAAAACTTGAACATAAGCTGTAGCAAAATGACAAAGGAATTCTAAAAAGATGAATAATGGAAAACAGGAGCTTCCATTGAAAAAATATTACAAGAAGAAATGGGCAAGCCCCTGGAGAAAGCAATCAGCAATATGTAAAACATTTAGCAAGTACTATGATAAATAATCTGGATAATGTCATTGGTAGTGTGAGAAAATTTTATGCTGCTTCTGCCAAGTAGGAAAAGGTCAAAGTAATCAGAAATTCTTTTAAAAAGAGCTGCACAAAACGTTGTGATCCAAATGAACCAAAATAAAAATGTGACATGAGTTTTAATGCAATAAAGTGTGATATATTTAACTTAAAAATGGATTACTCTTTTTAAAATTTCACAGTTTCTGTGTGAAAGTTAGGCCTTCTTTATGTTTATGCTTTCTTCTCTATGCACTGTCCTGTTCTGTAATAAAAAAGTATTTACATTAACAACGTAAATGCTCTTTGTTTTCCATTTTGGAATCAAAATATTACAAAACACAGACATTTTAAATTTTATTGGAGTAGGAACTGTAAATTTGATAAACCTTGTCAATGAATTTTAGTGGTCTGAGAATCTGAAGTTAGAAGTTGAAAAGGGGAGAATTTGAGTAGGTAAAGGTAGGGATATTAGCAGGTTTTTATTTTTGTCCATCTTATGAAGTCTGGGATCAAGTCTGTCTTTAGAGAAATAAGAATTGGAGATTTAAGAATATCACTTAAAATTAGAAGATAAATATATGAAAACCTAAAAATAATTTAACAAAAGGTTTGAAAAGATACAAAGTCTCTCAAGGCAAAATTTCTCATACTTCAATGAAGTAAATACAAATAGTTTACAATTGATATATCAAGAAGGAAAAATAAAACTTTTTTTTTTTAGAATTTCATTGAAAATTCTAGAAAGAATTAAATGTTGTTAAATGAGAAGAATGATACAGAAACTAGGTCTGAGTGACATGAATTTTGAGTTAATTCTGTCATGTACTTGTTTGAATTTTTTTCTTTTTTATAAATATTTTCTTGTGCTCGCTTTGCCAGAACATAGACTAAAATTGGAACAATACAGGGATTAGCATGGCCCCTGTGCAAGGATAACAGGCAAATTTGTGAAGCATTCTGTATTTAAAAAAATTTCTTTCTTGTATTATTTCATTAAAATTTTAACATATTTTATAAAGAGATTTAATTCAAATTTTCTTAGGGTGAGTTTTCTGTGGAAAATATGTTATTTCTATTAAATATGCCACCTATTTTAACTCAGAGCTATGATTCTAGTTTAAAAATAATATTGACAAAAATGGCTACAGAATGTATGAATAGTGGTATATAAATATAGAAAACTATATATAGGGATATAAAACAGACTAGATGAGATGTATCCTTAAATATTTGAACATATTCTGGGATAAACTCTTGTAATTCTTCTCAATGGTAATTAGGCTACTGGATTAAAAGTATTTCCCAAATTATTTTGCTATTAACCTGGCTATCATAACCAAAATAAATTAATTTGTAATGATAATAAGCTATAATGTTAACTGTGATATTTTACTGGTATTATAAAATAAATGGAAAGAAACATGAAATTTGGTAATTTTTAAATTATTTGCTTAAAATTCAACATCTTTCTCAATTGCACAGATTAAAAAATTAAAATTCAATGCAGAGTAAAGAAAACCAACTGAGAAAAAAATTGATTTGATAATGTCACAGGTTTCTTTATTATACTTGTAAGACTCAGTAAGACAAATCTTGAGTTCCCTTTAATAAAATTGAGTACACATGTACAAGTATGATTTTTATTCATTAAATATGTAAAAACTTGCTCATGACATCGTGAAATAGATTTCATTTTTGTTTCTTCTCAGTTCTTTGTATGAGGCCTGAACACAATGAATTAAGAAAAAGCCAATCAACACTGAATAGAACAAAAGTAAGATATAACCAGATGTTTTATGGAGTTATTTTGTTTCTAAATATTCTTTACTGAGTACTCCTGAGAAAGCATACAGCAAACTGTAATCATTAAGGCCTATAAACTTTATCAGTTAACTCTGTTACAGCGAATTAAATTGCTGCTTTTCTCAAATAATCCCTTGCCACTCCCCAAGTGACAAAGAATTCTTACACATCTGTGATGTATAACAAAATATATACACAATTAGATTGACATTTTTGTTTATACAATGAACTCTTATTCAGATCCTAATAGATAACAGATTCCATACACCATACTGACATATGCTAGTGTCTACAGCAACTCTGTAGGTGAAAATACAAACACATGATAATATATTTTCATAAATATTATTAAGCAAACAAATCTTGCACTGAAACGTTAATACTAAGGACAAGTGTGTAGATTGGCAGCCAGGTAAGGCTTTGCTAAGGATTTGATGCTTACCTCAAACCGTGAAAGATGGACTCTATCTAGCCATATAAAAAATGAGATGATGCAAGTGAGTGGAAAACAAATTGTAGGCAAAGGGTCAACATATGACAAAGCTCTGCAGTGGGAAGTGTGTGTGCATCTTCAGTGGAATAAAAGTAATTTGAGTGTAAAAAGAAAACAGTTTTGTATATTTAGGCAAACTATATGAACAGTTATATAGAATATATGTGTGTTTATGTGTATGTGTATATGTTTCCACATAATAAATATTGAGTGTTCCTATGAAGATTTTCTCACCTTTGGAATTCAAATTTTATTTATTCTTACTTTGAATATGCACAACTGCACCACAATTTCTCTATTTTCTAATAATAATAGTATATATGTTATTATTGTTGCTGCAATTTATTTTATATCAATAGAAATAGAAGAAACCTTTAATTTTAATCAAATGAGTTTTAAATTTGCTTTGCATGTCATTGTGAAGACTTACATGTGATTAGAGAGCAATTACCTGGTGCCTAATATTTTGCACAATGTTATTATTTACTAGTATAAGTGTAGCCCAGAAGAAATGTTAGGAGATAGAACAAATGGGTGGGTGAAATGACAAAAATGGTAGACTGACTAGTGCTATAGGTGCTAACTATTGTTAAGTGGATGCAGGATTTAAAAAAACACAAAAACGATGCCTGTTTTTACTAAAAAATACTATGGTCACAAGAACACCAAACCAAACACCACTTGTTCTCACTCATAGACAGATGTTGAACAATGAGAACACGTGGACACAGGTAGGGGAGCATCACACACTGCAGTCAGCTGGGGGTGGTAAGGGGAATGACAGCAGGGAATGTGGGGGTGGGGAGGGATAACTTGGGGAGAAATACCAGATATAGGTGATGGAGGGATGAAGGCAACAAACCACCTTGCCATGTATGTACCTATGCAACAATCCTGCATGATCTGCACATGTACCCCAGAACCTACAGTACAATAAAAATAAATAAATAAATAAAAATAAAATAATATGGTCTTACTGATTCTTAGAGCCTGGGAAATTTTTGAATATGGAACAATTTCTCTTGCGTAAGTCAAGGGAGGTTGTTTTCAAGTCCATATCATTTCACCTATTATAATTAGAGGACCTGACTCTGTAAAAAAAAAAAAAAAATTAAATCTCAAACTAGAAAATGGTAGCATTTATTATCTGATTGTAGTAATGCTATGATTTGGCCTGGGTCATAAATAATGGTCTCCTTTGCTTTGTTAATTATTTTCTTGTTTATGTGAAAGTTTTCCAACTCACACAAAATGTTGCAGAGAGTAAAGATTTGATTTGATATTCTTGCAAAGCAAACTTTGGTGCTAGTTTTGGAGGAAAAAAAGACAGGAAGCATGGAAATAAAACAAATTTGCATAATGCTATAAAATAGAATCATTTGTATTATGGATATGACTTTTCAAAATACAGACATCATTAACAACATTTCTTGGAATCATAAAATGTCACAAATTTACCTGCATATTTAGAGTCCAGAAGCAAACAAAGTAAAAATTTTTAAATATTATTTTAAAATAATATATTATGGAGAGAATTATTTTTTAATAATTCATATACAAAATCTAACTTTAATTAATGGAACTTTTTTAGTTTTAACTTTTCATAGTACCTTCTGAGTTAGATTCTAATAAAACAAATCTGTTTATAAAGAAATAAAAAAATTAACCTTAGAAACCTCTGGATCACATACATGTTTGATAAATAATTTTGATGTTTTTCATATGTTAGTGTTTCACCATGGATGTGTTTTTCAACTTTCATCATATTGATTTCCAAAGACAGGTATAGATTTTACTAATGGAATCAAATTAGGAGATCCAAGGTGAATAGTGAAATAACCTTTATATAAATTTTCCCTTGATCTATTTTTTCTTATTATTGTTTTGAAAGCCATCAAGTCGTGCATGTTTTAAACAATCTGCATTTGATATTAATGGAAATTTTATGTATAGAGTCCATTTTCTATTATCAAATCTGTAATGTGCGCTTTAGAAGGTCTAGTATAACTCAATGTAGATGACAGAATTTTGAATGCAACATGAACAGAAAATACATAGAGTCACATTTTACTTCTGATCCTCTAGGACCAAAATGGTGCTATGTTTTGTATGAAAAATAAAAAAATATTTGTAATTAAAACTTGTTATTACTATCACCTGAATGTATTTCCAGTTATAAAGCTTTAGAATTATTGGTATGATAGATATTGACTAAGAGAAATAATTCCAAAAGCTACATTTTATAATTCATTCATCCATTCATTCATTCTTCAATTAGTGAAACAGAACCAGAGAAATGTAGAGTTTTTCTCAATGCTACAAAAGTGATTCATCAGGAAAACAAGAATGAGATTCAATCCATGGGCTTTTATGCTCTCACCTATTTTCCAGGCTTTAATTTTTACCCAACACAGACTGGTCATTTCTCACTGGTTATCAAGGCTTGCCATTTGTGTATGTATCAGCAACATACGTTTTCTCATTAATTGGCTTTAGGAAACTTTTATAAACTACTGTTGAAGAGTTTAACCATAACTACAGCTAATAACTTTAACAGTCACTTAAATAATGTGTAGTCTGGAAAAATACCTTCAGGCTTAGCTAAAGATTTACAATGCAATGACTGAGAAATCCACACTTGCTCCAGTCGTCAATTCTGATTTCTAATGCACTTGTGTATGTCATAAGGAGTCCTGATTTATACCAGTCACACAAACGAACTTCGTTAATAAGAAGCCAGCTAATTCTCAAGAAGGTATATTTTCTCAAGTGTAATTTACTAGCTCATATATGCATGGAAAATAGACTAACATTATACTTAAACATCTATTGGTTGCTACAGAGTGATCAGAGAAAGAACGGATTAGAAACTTACTTTATAAAGCACACTGAGACACTGTTGTGCATGGTACAAAAATACTGGGAAATCACAAATGCCTTGAAACCATCTGTCCTATTGTGATTGAATTTGAGGTGAAGTATTTTTTTAGAAGAAAACACCTGTTGGAATATAAGATTTAAAAAAACTTCAGAGTATAAAAGGCTTCTGTACTGAAATTATCAACCTGTAATGGAAGAGGATCTTTAGTGATCAGTAAAATATGAGTGCAGTCCACAGATGGAGGTAACATCAAAGGAAAGGAGGCTTAAAATCTATCAAGTTTAGAAAAACATTATGACAATAATGTCCATATAAAGGTATGTTTTGGTAAGATCAATGGTAGCTCAGGAGCCTATGCTTGCTTTGAAGTAGAATCAGTGTTGAATTGAGTGGAAAGAGTCAGGTGTCAATAGTGCCTACTGAAAACCTGAAAACTTTGAGAAAATAGAATAAAAACTAAAGTATAAACAGTAAAGAAGTGATGAGTACTAGAGATATTTTGAAGAAAATTCAATAATACTTTCTGACCAACTCAATAAAGAGAATGAAGAAACTTTAAATTGGTACCCTTTCTTTAAAAATCCCAAATGTTTTTACTATCACAAAGTTGTTTTTTTCCTATTATGACCCTATCAATGATATTTTTTTATGCAATGAATCAGTCCATTACAGATTTTATGCCAATATATCTCTAACAACTCTTGTCATTAATCTAACCTGTCTCCACAACCCATATAGGCAGTTCCCAAATTTGCATCATCCATTTATCTATGTAAGTGGATGATATAAC